TTGGAGTCTGTAGGAAATACTGTTAAGAGTCCTGCTGTAAAAATGATCATTAATAGTACGTAAGAAATTAGGAACCAAAGTGGGTAACAAAACATGACAACCTGTGAGTCGTGGCCGTGAGGCCTTGGTAAGGTAGAGATGAGTAAGAAAAGGATGGTCAGATCTAGGGCCTGAGCGATGCGAAACCAGAATCGCAGTCTAGCAAATTTGATTGCTGTTGAGGTTACCAAGAATATCGGTATGGCTCGCTGTAACCTGGTTGTAGTCCTTGGAATGATTTGCTGCAACAGAACTTTAGCAAGTATATCAGCAGTTTCCCTGGTTGTGGGAAAGGCTTTTATGTATCCTGAAAAAGTATAAACAAAGTGAGAAGACAAAATGTATCTGTCAGTCTTTACCAGGGTTACCTGAGAAATTGGTGAATAAGAAAGGAAGGGAGTGGTCTTATATCACTGAGGAGAGGTTTATTAGTGATAATAGGTAGAAGCTGTGAGGCCTCAGTGTATCTAAGTCAGCTTGTATAAAAGGCATTTTAAGATTTAGCACTGAGACCTGCACGAAATAGGCCCTGTTTATAAATGGCATAGGTTGACCATCAATACCCTATCATAGAGATTGAGGACTTAATATAGCTGCCTGAAAACTCAGGAAGAACTCTGTATATATGGCCTCTATGTCCACAAATGTAGAGAATTTCTTACTTGAAAGTTTTAGTGTGACTTGGACTCTGAGATGGACACCCACAAAGGGGGCTGCTGGCCCGGAGCCCCCTCAGTCTTCAGCAGCAATTTTCTGTCAGCAATGAATCTGGCAGTGTTGGCATTTTAGGATGGCTTACCCACTCTCTGGTGGCTAAGACAGTCTAGCAGCTCTGGAGTAAGTTCTCAAAGAACACCAGGATGGGGCAGTCTCTTGCCTAATGTCTTCTGCTGCATTTGAGCATGGTCCATGGGGTGGGGGGCAGGCAGCTCCACCTTGTGTAGGTTTGCCTGTCTCAGAACTCTAAGTGTCATAAGTGTTGAAAATATGAAAAACCATATTAAGGTCTCTGTGGAGTCTGAAGTCAAGTTTTGCCTTTTTGTTTGGCATTTGGACTACAGTAGAATTAAGTAAGTATGCAGGAGTTTAATATTGGCATTTTAGATCAGAGAGCAGGCTTTATCTGGATGGCACATTGCCTTTTTTTTATAGGGTGCCACGTGGAATTAACATAAAAGGCTTTAGTTTGCCCTCCCCCTTTTGGAGTATAATCTTATATTATTTAATGGAAACATTTTGCAGCAAAGGTTTACCAATCTTATGAATACTTCTATCAAAACTGATCTAATACTGTCAAATTCTGAACACATTTACTTTTTTTTTTAAACCTGTTATTTGCAGTATTATGATTGTCTTGGAACAGAGCTAGTGGTTCCCAGCAAAAGGAATTTATAACGTTAATTGTTAATTGGCGACAACAGTATAATACAGGCAATCTCTTAATTTTAGTTGTTAAAACAGGAGATTAGTGAAGGCTTTGATTGATAAACAAGGCTGGTAAAATTACCAAGTGGCCTAACCTTGATTAAATGGTTTGAGAATTGTAGTTAAAAAAAAAATAGCATTTCTTGAGCGGAGCCGAATTGTAAAAAAAGCATGTCTGAGCAGAGCTGCCAAGCTGCTGTTTGGTGGCGTGCTGGCAGAGCATGCCCAGCATGGGGGTGGGGCGAGCATCGGGACATAGTGTGCAGGGGCGAGCTGGGACTGCCCCCGGAAACGCATAAGGTGGCGGTGCTGGCAGGCTCGCAGTGGCAGCAGGGCTGGGAGGCACCCTGATGCAGCTCAAAGCCGGGGCCGCTTCTGAAGGCACTTGCCTAGTAGCTGATCTACCAAGAGCCGAATCACCACATGGAGGAGCCACTCGCAGGGCGCAGGGCTTGGGGCACTGTGTTAACGCTGAACCTGCAGGGCACGGCGTTAAAGCTGAACCGTGCATGGACCTGGCTGCATGAGAGCCGAGACATTGCGTGCGGAGTTGGGAGGTGGCGCAGAGCCCAAAACTGCCCAAAGCATCCCATGCATATCTCTGAACACTGTCCCGGCTCATTTTCCATCTCTGCGGGGAATGGGTTGGCATGCACGGGAAACAAAGTGACACTGGCAGCGTGGCGGGGGGGGGGGGGGGGAGCAGCGAGGAGACAAAGGGACGGGGACACTGGGGGGAAAGGACACATTCCCAAAACAAAAGCTTAAAGATAGAGAGTTTTGTAAGCTTGTCAGCAGTGTGATAAGCCAAGATAGCTATGGTGTCTGGGGGGGGGACAGGAAGTGGTCCCCGAGATAAAATCTGGTGTGGGGTCTAGCCCACGGGGTTAGAACCAGATGAGGCAACAGACCATGGTCTGTCAAGATTAAAGCCGTCACTTTGCACTTCAGGCGGATCAGTTGGTTATATGGCTCCAAAACTCCTAATAATTTGCCATCACCAATATTATGAGTGGACTTTGCATGGATTAAGTAGCAGCTCTGCCGTGAGAACTTAAAAAGCTCTGAGGAACGTGAGGGTCTCTCAGTGTGGGTGGTCCAGGGTGGACACAGTTTGCCCAGAAAGACCCTGCCTTGGGCCATCTTAAGGACGTGAGAGTGTCATGGGAACCCATGGAAAAGAGGAGAAAAGCCTCCTGGGGCCTGGCCCAGTGGCAATCTCCGGGAGTTGCTCACCTGTGGTAAATTGGGTCGGTGTTTGCAAACCGGCAGCGACAAGCTTACAGCTCCCAAGTGTAGAAATGAGGAATTAATGCAGGGTGCAGTCCAGTCCTGGTCCTGAATGGCATGGGACTCAAACTGGGAACCAGCCCCAGGAGTCTCTCTTCTGCCGTTCCTGGTCAGGCAACCATATGATAGAACTGTGGAGGACTGGTGGCGGCTGCAAAGATAAGAAGTATGAAATACAAATGACCTTTATTTTGAAAATGCGGGCAGAGACCCCCCCCCCCCGATCCCCTTGGCTTTACAGGCTACAGTGTCCTGTCTGGGCCAAAACCCTTTCAGTATCATTCCTGCTTTTTCCAGTTTTAATACAGTCTGTCCCATCTTCTCATGGTCTCCTAGTAGCCAGTACTGCTTCATGCACCCAACCCATGTGGCCTATGGGAAAATCAGCAGTGCATGTGGATGGCCTTGGACTATGGTTTTATCACACAAATTCACAACCAGAATTTTTCCTGCATGGTCTCGAGCTGAGTACCAGTCAGTGTGTCCACCTCCAGCATGTTTTCAGCAATCAGGGAAACATAAACATCATACAGATGTGGTGGTAATCACCTTCTAGCCAAAGCCACCTGGTATTCTGCACCATGTAGTGACCCCCATATCCTTTTGTGTATGTAGTAGGTCCTGTAAAATGGTCTGGGTTGCTGTATATTAGCAACCCAGTATTCACCCGTGCTAATACATGCTATCCATTCTTTAAGGACCACATGTGGCCTCCAGTCTCCTGAGACACCCCAAACCCATATACGTGGCCTGCCTCCTAGACAGAATAAGAGGAGACTAGTGTCACTTCTTTCCACTTCACTGGGGCAGCTTTGATCTTCTAGCCATTGGCCCATCGGTGGGTATTACTGCTCAGGGTGTAACTGCCTCCACGGAGTCAGCAACACATCTGCCCATCTAACTTACCTGTGGCTAGGCCGGAAGCCAACAGATCCATCCAGGTCTTTCATAAACAACCTTCAGAAGCCCTGTAGCCTGTTCTTGGAGGGCAGCCCTGCTCACCTGGGGCCCCCCTTCTCTTTTTTCTCCTTTGCTGGTACAGTTTTTACATATCTCACTTTACCTTGGCACTTTGCTCTCCCAAACTGGCCAAGGCATCCACAGCATCACGGACTGGGTGACCTGTAAGGGGAGCTAGAAGGGCTGCCACTGAGCTGATTGCCAGCTGGCCTGCTTGCCGGGCTTATGTCCTTTATGCATGCTGTCAGCAGTTCCTCTCTGGACTATAGTGCTGCAGTGTGAATATCATCTGCTGCAGGCACATTTCATGTAGCACAGTTATGAAGTCTAGATAGTGACTTGCTCCAGCAGGTCACCTGGTTTCTCCCAGGGAAGCCACTGTCATAACCAATTTATCACAGTCTAATTATTTGCTTCTGAAGCTGTCCTGTGGACATCTCGCAGAATCCATCTCATAGAGGAGACAGGTATTTGGGACACCTTCTGTGGGTTTAAGTGAATATTATCAGCCCCATCATTCCATAGCCATAGCAGCCACACAGGCACTGTTTCACTCACCTTTTACTTTAATTGTTTGGCCAGCTCCAGTAGCTCCATGGCTGTACAAGTTGTGCACATTATGTGCCTAGTAGAAGAAGGCGGCCCTCCCAGTGCTCCTCGCTGGGCTAGGGCTTCCTCTACCTCTATTTAATGGTGAATAACTGGCCTAGCATGCAGGGGATTTGCTAGGGTGTTTTCTTAGACACAAAGACTTATATTTCTGGAGACATTTCCCACGCCTTGCAACGTGAGCTCTGCAGCAGCCAACCATTGCTCAAGGGCCTCCTCTTTCTGTTGCAGCTGGTCTACTTGCCGTACAAGGCCATTCACCTCTTGATTTATACAGCAGAAGAGAGTGAAAAACAAAGTGACTCACCCTGATGTTTCACCATGAGGGGGAAGAATTTGTCTGTCTATTGCTTCCAAGGCTAACAAGCAGCCCTGGGCTCCAAACAGACTGATTCCTAGTCCTCCATGGCCTCCCAAGCTGCCAAGCAGGTGGCTACAGGTAACCATAGCAAGACCAGGGTCATTTATCAGCTATTCCCTGGAACTCTCCCTTATCTTTGGGTGCTATTTCCACAGCCTTCCTGGGACCACTCACCTCAGTGTCCTGCCGACTACACCAGTTGTCAGCCCACTCAGGGGGCCCATTTTCGAAGGTGAGATCCCAAGGTTAAAGAATCCACATGTGCAAGACATCAGCAACCACAGTAGGCAGCATGGAGCAGAGCACAGAGCCAGAGTGAGCGTGCAAGAGAGCAAGAGCCACCTGAGTCTTTATTGTATAATTCTTATACAGGATATTATCTTATACAGGATATTATCATGTTTACATTCTTACATTGTGCGGCAAAAGTGCATGCATGTTGATCTGTGCTTAGGGTTACATAACTGTATTCCACTGTGTACCTGTGCTACACAAATAAGGTCATGTCCCCAGGTATCCTTAGACCCACTGAGCTTTGAAGCAGTCTGAGTGGTTCCCTACACCAGGGGAATTTTTATTTTATGAATTTTTAGGCCATCGTAAGTTGAAATGTGCTTCAAGAAGCCTATGCATTTTTTCATTACCACAGTTAGATGCATTTAGGAATCCACAAGCATGGATTCAAAGTGTAGGTTTGAAGCAGGACCTGGAATGTCCTGCCACTTCTTCCATACCCCATGCTCAGCACAGTGGCTCCCCTAAGGAGGATGAGCCTCAGGGCTGGCATGGTCAGTCATGTAGAAGCCATGCTCTTCGATGGCCCGGTATAGCATGATGTACTTGGAGGCCAGCCTCGTCCTTGGGACCACATATTCCTCTGTGAACTCAGTCTTGTCCAGTTGCTTCTTTCCCTCAGTGGCTAGAATGCAGTTAATGAAAGCGAGGGAGTAGCTGTAGCAGTTGTGGTGGTCTTCTTTATACCTTGCAGAACAGGGCACAGAGAAGAAAAGGCTGAGATGATTTTATTGACTTATTTGAGAGAGGGGCCCAAGCTGGTCTTGAATTCCTGAGCCTAAGGAATCCTCCTGCCTCAGCCTCCCCAGTATCTGGGTCCTCAGATACATGCCACCACACTAGGATCCTGAGAAGCCTCAGGAACAGGACATGAAGCTACAAAGGGACTTTCCTAATGGAACTTGGTTCTCAGTTGTGGAGCTTGGAGAGATGCAGTTAAACTGGCATATTTAGCTACTTGCTGTGGGGGAACAGGTAGGAGACTCTCTCCGAGGGTTCAGGATGAAGTTGTGGGGAAATTGTACACTGGGAGAACTGAAGTGGGGCTCTAGACTTTAGGAGTGGAGTACTAAGTTTGGGATCTATCACAGCACCTAAACCCATCAAAGGGAAGCTTAAGAAACCCTGAAATCTGTACACATCCTCTCCACATCCTCTAAAATGTTGAAGGAGAGTAGAATTGAGAAATTAATTGCAAAATTGCTAAAATAAAAAAAATAGATCTTTAAGTATTTTTACATTTTAAACATTACTTAAGTTTTAAGAGTGAGGTTTGGTGCCCACCTGGCAAGCACAAAGTTGTGAGTTCAATCCCTGGTACCAAAAAAAAAAAAAAAAGGGCCAAGGGTTTAGCTCAGCAGCATAAGCACCTGCCTGGCAAGCATGAGGTCATGAGTCTGATCCCTGGTATAAGAAAAAGGAGTTTTGCTGTATATGTGTAGAAGTACCAACTAAACAGACTACGGTGGGAGGGGGTAACAGTTCATCCTAATTGTCAATTTGATCAGACTGAGATGTCTGGAGAAGGGACTGGATCATGGGACATTGCATCTGTGGATTAATCCTGGTGTCTACAGCTGAGTGTGCTGTGAGGAGGTGGGGCCTGGTCAGAGGATGTGGTCTGGGCCTCTGGAGAGTGCACCTAACACTGACACTCTTTCCAAGCTGACTTGTCTCTAGACCACCACGAGGCAAGCCACAGTCCTCTGATAGACCCTTCCACCATGATGGCCATGCTTTGGAGCCAGCTAACCATGGACTGCACCCCCTGAAACTGAGCAAATCAAACGTTTCCTCCTTTTCACGGTGGATGTCAGATACGGTGTCTCTGCAACTAGAAAGCTAACCAAAACAGCTCTGATACTTCCAGCTCCTAAGTACAGGGCTGGGAATGCAGCTCAGTGGTACCATTCCCAGAACCACCAAAAAACAAAGCACAGAACAAAACAACAACAACCCCCGCCCCATAAAAACTCCAAGCTGAGGCTTTGCTGTGTATATGCTGACCCCTGTGGAAAATCTGAAGCGTGCTACCCTGCCATTTGTCCCCATGGTGCTACACACAGCCAGCCTAACCACAGTCTCCCACATACCTGTGTGGCAGCCAGGCCCCATGAGCAGAGAAGTCCTCCAAGTACCTGTCCCACTGGTGCTGCAGTCCCAGCATGCCAGGCTGCAGGAGTGGCACAGCCAGGCTTTGCTCCCAGCCCGTCCTGTCCCGCTGCACACCACTTCTGTCATAGTTGTACACCACTCCTGCAGACAGACCCAGCAGCCTTCAGGAGGGGTGCATCTGCAGGGAGCACCCAGAGAAGGACAGCAGCCACCCTGGGACTGTCTGTAGTGGAGAGCAGGATTACACCTTCCTCATGTCACCATGGATGGGACAGGTATAGGGATGAGAAGCAGCATCCCTCTACTGCAAGCAGGGTGGTGGTGTGGGCTCAGCTTCTCCCACACATCTTAGCAGCATAGCCCTTCCTTCAGGGACCCCGGTTCTTGCTCTGCCTGCTGCGACGTTGCTCCCATGAAGTAGAAGACAGCCGTGAGCTGGGATGCAGCTCAGTGGCAGAGCAGTCTTAGGAGGTGTGAGCCCTGGGGTCATTCCAGGCAGGAAAGACAGATTTCTGGATCAGCTATCTTCTTGTTTGGGCCAAAATGAGAGTAAACTCATTTCCTGCTTCACCATCATTTCTTTTTGTTGGACCTCCAGAGTTAAGTCTCTAGATGGGGTGTGTCCTTAACAACATTTCATGGGATACACCGGGCATGGTGACATGCAGTAGGCTGAGGCAGGACTGCAAGATCAACACCAGCCTAGCCAACATTGTAAGACCCAGACACAAGAGAAAAATAAAAATGGATGATACAGCTAGGTGTGATAGTACACACCTGTAATCCCAGCACTCAGGAGGCCGAGGCAGGATTGCCATGAATTTCAGGCCAGCCTGGGCTACATAAACAAGCTCAAGACTAGTCTGCCACTACATAGTTTGACCCTGTCTCAAAACAAGACAAACAACAACAACAAAAAAGATAGTACAGTTGACTGCATGCAGGGATGTGAATTTTAAAATGTAGTTCTAGGTTTCAGTTTGGATAGTCGGTTTGTCCTGCCTCCAGGGTAAAAAAAGACTATACGTAGAGGCCTGCGCTGCTTCCTGGAAAGGGCTCCACCCAGGCCCTGCTGCTGCTGAAGGGAACGCTGGCTCTCAGGTTGCGGAATCTGTGCTCTCAGAGCTGTCCCCTCAGCTCCTGTATTTACATCCCTAACCCTTTTCATTTTCAGACAGGATCTTTCTAAATTGCCCTGGCTGCCCTCAATCCTCCTGCTTCAGCCTCCCAGGGTGCCATGTTTGCGGGTGGGTACCACCACATCTGGTTCCTATTTTTTTTTTAGTGAGCCCCTGTAGGCCCTCTACACATGCTGAGGAGTTGTACCTCATTTAATTCCTGTAGCTAGGCATGTGGGAACCCATGCTATCAGGTTACCATGGATTTGGGGAATTGTGCCTGGGTCCAGAATCTGATTTGGGGGCCAGACGTCATGGTACATGCCTGTAATTCCAGCACCTGGAAGGCTGTGGCAGGACACTGCCATGAGTTCCAGGCCAGTCTGGACTACATAGTGAGTTTAAGGCCACCTGGACTTCATAGTGAGATGATGTCTCAAACAAAAAACAAAACAAAACTTTGATTTAGGCACAGGAAGTGAGATCTTGGGTAACTCGACCTCTCTGGATGTCTGTTTCTTCTTCTTCCCCTAAAACCCAAGGAAAAATATGCAGGTTTGTGAAGCTCTTTAATGAGAAAACACTGCTGCTTCTGAGGCTCTGGTCCATGGTACCCTAGAACCCAAGCTCTGTAAGCGGCAGCCCTGGCTCCACCCCAGCACCAGGAAGGAGTGAGGCTTATGTACAGGCAGTGTGGGTACAGCTGACCCATCTCAGCCTGCAGAAAGAGAATCTGGGCCCTGAGGAATCACCAGCTGAACATGGCCGAGAAAGATCGTGTCCCCTTTAGAAATGCTGCTGTCCTCTAACTCAGCGCTGTGTTTATTTTTGAGCTAAAAAAGGAAGCAAAAATGCACTCACCATTTGTGTTAGTTATCCCAACATGAAGATCAGACCTTCCATCATACTCCCTGAAAGAAACAGGTATTATTTTTTTCTTATATGAAACAGAATCTCTCCTTTGCTGGGGCTGATCTCAAATCCTTACGCTCAAGTGATCCTCCTGGCTCAACCTCCTTAGCATCTGGGACAATGGGTGTGTACCACTGCACTGATGTATTGTTTGTCTGGTGGACACATGCTTGGTATGAAGCCTTCATATTTAAGATAAGGGAGCAAGGGGACCAGGCCTTGCCACCACACCAGGTGAATAGAAGCTGAATTTGAGAGCTGGTTGATTGACCATGCATCTGAGGTAGGAAATGCTACATGGTACTGCCCAAATCTGGCCCTCCAAAAACCAGCCCTGCTGAAATATAAATTCAGCATCCACCTGGCTTCCATAGGCCGGCCTGGAAGTTGCTTAGAGCTGCTGTTGCTTCTTCTTCTTCTTTCTCCTCCTCCTCCTCCCCCTCCCCCTCCCCTCCCCCCTCCCCCTCCTCCTCCTCCTTCTTTTTAGTACTGAGAATGCAACCCAAGCAGTGCTGGACAGCTTTTTTCAAAATTTCATTTTGAGACAAGGAAGTTCTTGCTAAATTGCCTGCCTCAAGCTTGAGATCCTTTTGCCTCAGCCTCCTGAGCAGCTGGGATTGCAGTGTACAGCACTGCACCAGCTGTGGGTACCCCCGATTCTGCTCACTTCCTTCTGTGGGAGCTGACAGCTTGGCCCCAGTCTGGTAGGGTGGAACGGGCCTGGGCTGTATAAGTGCAGCGCCTGTAGTGCTTTACAGCTAAGGCTGCTCCTGCTTCGCCTTCATTTCCTGACATTACTTTTCATTGTTTCTGAGGGTTAGGGTTGGAACTCAGAACTTCATGCATGCTAAGCATATGCTCGGCCACTGAGCTACGGATCCCCTTGTTGTTCTCCTTACACAGTCCACACACTGACCAGCTTAACTCCCTATTATGTCATCTACACAGCATTCCCAGGCCATCACTTATGAGTCTAGGAACACTGAGCACATTGCTTTCTGTACTCTGTGTCTGCATCTGGAAAACAGCCATATCTTAAGCTTCTTAGCAAGCTGGCAGGAAGATCAGAGGGTGTGTGTATGTGTGTGTGTGTGTGTGTGTGTGTGTGTATGTGTGTGTGGTGTGGTGTGGTGCAGGGGATGGAACCCAGAGCCTTTGCATGGACCTACATCTCCAATCACTTTTATTTTTTTATTTTGACACAGGGTCTTCTAAATCACGAGGTTGCTCAGTCTGGGCTCAAACTTGTGATCCTCCTGCCTCAGCCTCCCAGAGTGCTGGAGTCACAGCGGTGGCCACCAAGTCCAGACAGAGGTAATTTTTTAAATGATAATGCTGCTGAGCTTGGTAGTTGCTATAGTTTATATCCAGATGTCCCCCAAGAGCCTCATGAAAGCAGAGGCACACTTGTGGAAGGTGATAGATTTGGGAGCTTAGCACTGATTTGCTGTTGAAAAACCAAAGAGCTGGCACTGAGGTGCAGCCTGGCACCCCAGTCGTTCTCTCTCCTCAGCTCCTCCCTTTTCATTCTGCTTCCTGCCTGCCAGGCCTTGAACTCTTTCTCCTCTGCAGTGCTCTTCTTCCATGCTGTTCTGGTTTGGATCCAGTTGACCGTGGACCAGAAACTCTACAAACTGTGAACCAAGGTCCTCTCCTTCTCAAGTTGTGGGTATTAGGTATTGTATCTCAGCAGCAAAGAAGGGACTAAGACAGTGCCAGCTATATAGAAGGCAGAGGCAGGAGAATCACGAGTTTGAGGCCGCCCTGAGCAACTTAGCGAAAAAACTGTCTCCAAAAAAGTGGGTGAAGTAGAGATATTATAACTTAGTGCAAAGGCCCTGAGTTCAAGCTCTGGTACCCCTGGAGAGGGAGAAGATGAGGGAGAGACAGAGACAGCATGAAGGCAGAGAGGCAAAGAGAGACAGAGAAACAGAGAAAGACAGAAAGACAGAGGGAGACAGAGAAACAGACATTGGATGTGCTGGACATGTGCCCCCTCGTTAAAGCAAGCATCCTGGGCTGTAATGTGGCTGAGAACACAGATGGCTGCCCTGCCTTGGTCAGAGAACCCCTTCAAGCTGCATCTGCACCAAACCCCAGGTTTGGCTCCCTACTTTCTGCCCTGACATCAAACACTACTTATTGGGTGGCAGCACTGGCACAGTAGGGGCTGTGGAGGCCTGGAGGCTGGGCTTGGTGGTGTGTATGCTGTCACTGAACCCAGGTACCTGTAAGTCCAGACCTAAAGTTCTAAGAGGCCCTGGAACATTGGCCTCAGCTGTCCTGTCCTGTCCTGGGAAGGCCCAGGGTGTAGTCTGCTTAGCCCCCAGTGTGTGGCCAGCCTTTCTGTGCACTTTGGTTTACTTCCTGCCCAGAGGGAAGGATGAGAACAGATCAAGGGAGTTAGCAATCAGGGCTGTGAATGCTCAAGCAGCAACACTCTGTGGGCAGTGGCCTGGCTACTCAGGAGGCTGAGGCAGGAGGATTGCTTGAACTCAGAAGTTGGAGGCCAGCCTGGCAAGATAGTGAGACACTCCCTCCCCACACCACAGGAAAAAAGCAGTAAACCAAACAGGCACCCTAAGGAATTAAGAATTAAGAGTTGACCTCAAGAGTAATTCCCTGTAGCTATATGACTTATTTACCTGTAGCTATATGCATCACTTAGTAACACACATGCTGTTAAAAAACATAGCTCATTCTGAGCCAGTTCCAATTCTACACCGTGAAGAAACAACGAGGCATCATCCTTTCTTTTGATTCCTGAACTTAATCAAAGGCAGGTGGCAGGGCTGGGGATTTAGCTCAGTGGAGTAAGTGCCTGTCTGGCAAGCAGGAGGTCATGAGTTCAATTTCCAGTACCAAAAAAAAAAGCGCCAGGTGACATTTGATATGAAAAGTTTCCAGTGTCAGTTTAGGGATGGGAGTGTGTCAGTGGTAAGCACCTTCTCCCTCATAAGCCCAGCACCAACATCCCAAGCAAACAGCAGTCAACCTGATCCGGCTTCAGTCTAAGCCAGCTCCACACAAAACAGTCTGTAAGCGCTGCACTCCCGCTCGGCCATCACACCCAGCTGCAGAGAAAGTGGTGTTTGGGGTGGGATTCTTCAGCACCTGTGCTGTACTCCTCCTCACTAAAGGACTACAGGTGTGCTATCCTTAGAGTGTGTGTGTTTGTGTGCGGGTGGACGTGTGTGTACTGCTGGGGGAATAGGGAGGGCCTCACCCTGCAAGGCCAACGCTCACCTCTGTGCCACTCCAGCCCCACATTCTCATTTCCATGGAATAAATCAGAAGCCCCCAATCTCCACACAATCTGCTGCCTACTAGGAAGAGGAAGTGGTGGCTATAATACAGACCAGTTTGCATCATTCAACACGACGCTCAGAAGACGCAGTACCTGAGAAACGTGCCCTGGGTTGGCCTGAGAAGGAAGGAGCATTTCTCCTGGTGTCCATTGCTGAAGGGGCTGGAGATACTGACTGGAGCATCAGCCAGCTCTGCTGAGCCCAGCGCTTCTTGGCAGAGAGGGCAACGCCTTGGCACCTCAAAGCTGTAGATGGATCGCTTACAGTGGTTGAATTTAATCAAAGATTTCACGGCCTCGGCGCTGTGCATAATGTTTGTCCCCAGGCCACCAGGAAAGGGTTGCAGAGACTTCCTTTCCCTCCTTACGCAACTGGCCTGTGCCAGCTGCACTGCACTGCTGAGTAACCTGATGAGAGCAACCAAGCCTACTGGGAAGTAGGGTTAACCTGTAACCAGGCCGCCTGAGACTCACTTCTTAAAGAGCTAGTTCTCATTTGTGCTCCATGACCAAGTTTCTTCTTCCCAGGCCCTATACAGCCAGCTCCTATTCACCTCTCAAAATCCTGTTTTACTGTACGGCTTTCTCAGTTCTTCCAGTCTTTTTTTGTTCTGCCTTCTGGATTTCTGTTTTGACCAGAACCACATTATTTTATTTTTAATAACCACATTATTAATGAATCTTTTAGTTTTATCTTTCCTATTAGTCTGAGCAGTACTTGGATTTGGGCACTGACATATACATATGCATGTATGTATGTATGTATTTCTTTTTCAGGCTGGCTGTAAGTACTTGCCTAGCATGTGTGAGGAGGTCCTGGGCTCTGTCACTAGTGGCACATTACATGCTGCATTCAAATGTTATGTTCCCTGATCTTTACTTCTGTGTTCCTAAAGCATGTTATTTTGTACTGTTGTTGCATGCAGGAATGAAGTCCTTCTTTCTAGGTTACCATGTTTAGATTTTTCTTACTGCAGCAGCAAACCTGCTTACAGATACTGAGCTGTGTGGGGAGAGACCTAGGTCACGGCCACCTGGGGGAAGGGACCCTACTGTGCAGAGGGCAGAGGTGCTTTCTGGGCCTGTGGCTCTTCTCAGACTCTTTAACCCAATTTCAATTCTATTAGAGAATTTAGTCTATGATAGTTCATTATGCTGCATGTTGTTTTCACCTTTTAAAACACCTTAAAGCAACTGTACAAAAATATACAAGGAAAAAAATAGCATCCCTCCTTTTTCCCATGACTTTTCCTACCAACTACTTTCTACTCCTTGGGCAAAGCCATGGCAAGTTTGAGGCTATTTCTACACAATTGTCTTATTGTCACGCACTACTGTTTTAGAATCTTTATTTATTTATTTTGGTGCCTGGAGTCGAACTCAGGACCTCACACTTGCTGGGCAAGTGCTGTGCCACTGAACTGCATTCCCAGCCTTTAGTATCTTTAGAATCTGGGTTTTCTCACATCTAGGGATCTTTTTGCCAGTATCCCGGCCTAGTGCCCACTTCCATAAGAGCCTGCAAGACCCCCAGCATGCCTTGCACCATACCCTCAGCCCTGTTCATGCCATAGATGAGAAACCTAAAGGACCAGGACCGTGGATGATAGCAGAGCCTAGAGGGGTAAGTGCTATACCCGTCTTTAAATACATTGCAGGATATTGAAACATCGCCAGTCATGTCACACAAGAACTACTATCAGGTTCATGGAACTGGGAAGAGCTCGAAAACCCTTAGGCAGCCATCTCCTTTTACAGTGAGGGCAGATGACTGCATCGAGACACCCAGCACCAGTGACAGGGACAAAGGCCACTCATTATTCATATGGGCCACACAGCTCTTACTCGCGGATCGTTAAGAGTGACCCAAGCTTTTTGCCCGGGGCTGGACTGGAATGTAAGGCCTTGTGCATGCTACGCAAGTGCTCACCACTGAAGTGTACCTCCTTTCATCTTCCCCACACCCACACCCACACCCACACCAAGAAAAATTATTTTCAGCTTTTGTCGTCCTTTTTGGTTGTTTTGTTTTGTTTGAGACCGGGTCACACTATATAACCCAGGCCGACCTTGAATTCAGTTGTCCCGCTTCAGCCTCCTGAGGAACAAGGCCTCATGTGCAGGCCACAGCTATGGCAGGAGACTTCCTCTTGGGGAGGAGTACTGCCTGGTGGGGGAGCAGGTACTAGCAAGGACAAGGCCTAGGCTCTCTCCCCAGCCTTGTAAAACATAGAAATAAATTGTTAATCTCGTTGAAAGGGACAGAGGTGCCATGTCTTCATAAACATTTTTAATATACCATGACTTTCATTTTTTTTGTGGTGGTGCATCTGGTGGTGTTAGCAGCAACAGAGATTCCTTTATGTAGGAATACTACATCCATCATCAGGCTTTCGTGTATGAGCTAGAATAATTCTGTAAGACACCCGTGAAACTGCTCTGTGACCTGCTCTGTGACCCCTGAGGTTCTGCTCTGTGACCCCGAGTTCTGCCCTGCAGGACTTTCCCAGGTAAGGATGGCACCTCTGTCGTGTGCTGGAGGTATCCAGGTGGCTTCATACATGCGCTTTTACTCTTACTAAAGCTCAAATTGTTCTTTTCCCATAATTTCTTTGCTATCTAGTGTCAGAAAGTCCCCCTTTCTCTGCACACAATGTCTTCCCCAGATCTGACAGCCATTTCTCCAAGAAGCCCTAATTTAAGTGAGAAATGGAATTTCCAGGGTGCAGTCGACCTGTTAGAGGAGCTCTTTGCTACTGGGTTCTCATCAATTCTCTGCCTTTTCAGTGGCCTAAGCACTCCTAAGAGACACCTCATCTCTTCAGTCAGTTCCATCCCATTCTGCCCTTGCGTTAGCCCTGGGTAAGCATGAGTCATTCTTTCTCCGTGGATTTCAGAGAAAGGGGATCATGCAGTAGCTGGTCTCTTACTTGGCTTCTCTCACTCAGCACATTTCCAGAGCTCATCCAAGCAGTTGCATGTCTTGGTTACTCATTGCTACTATAGAGAAACAATATTCCAGCATAGGAGGATAACACATTTTGTATATGTGTTCTTCAGTTGATTGAACACTTGGCTTATTTTCATCTTGGGTTAATGTGAATAACAGGTAAGTATCATACCCTTGCACAGTGTTTATGCAGCCACCTCTCTCGGCTGTATAGGTGGAAGCAGGTTTCTGTGTCATGTGGTACCTATGTGTGACACTTGGAGGGCATGCTAAAACTTCTCCCGATGTGCCAGCACCCTCATCTGCTCCCTCTGGTAGCTTTTGACCTCTCCGTCTCTCCATATGACACTGCTCTCTAGTTCTTGTGTTAGACCCTCAGCAGGAGTGGTTTTGACTTGCGTTTCCCAACAACCGATGGTACCGGACATGTTCTTCTACGTTTCTTGGCCATTTGCATCTCTTCTTTGGAGAAATGTCTATTGAGTGCTTTGCCCAATTTCTCACTGAGATTGTTGTGTTTTCATTGTTGAGTGCTAAGTGTTCTGTGTATATGCTCGACATGCAATCTGGTATATCTCTTTCTAAATTGTAACAATTGTCTTTTTTCCTCTTTTCCAATTTCGTTCAAAACACAAAATTTTAAAAGTGTTACGAAGTTAAATTTATATTTTCTCTTATTACTTATACTTTTGGTGTCCTACCCAAGAATGCATTGCCTAATCCCAGGTCATGAAGATATATATCTGCATTTTCTTTTAAGCATTCTATAGCATTAGTTCTTACATTGAGGTTCTTGATTCAATTAAATTAATTTTGGAATAACTTGTGAGGTAGGGGTTCAGCTTCATTCTTTGTCATGTTTAGGCAATTGTTTTAACATCTTTTAGTGAAAAGATTTTCTGTTGATCTTTGGTACCCTTTTCAAAACTCAGTTGACCACAGATGTGTTTATTTTTACACTGTCAATTCAATTTCATTTATCTCTAGGCTTACCCTTGTCCTGACAGGTAAGGCTGTCTTCTGTGGGCTGTACTGTCCGCCATTCAGAGTGGGTACCAAATCTCCACCTTCCACTCACCTGTCTCTTATTTCCATCCGTGTGAAGTTTGGCTGCATGTATTTTGGGGATCTGTTTTGAGTGCATATATATGTTTGCTTGTTTGTTTGTTTATTGGGTTTTCGAGACAGGCTCTCACTATGTAGTTCAGGCTGGCCTTGAATTTGCTTTGATCCTCCTGTTTAAGCCTCTTAAATGCTGGGATTACAGGCATGTCAAACCTGCTATCATTTAATTGCCTTGTTCTAGCAAGTATGGTGGTGCACGCCTGTAATCCCAGCACTCAGGATATTGAGGCAGGAGGATCATGGCAATTTTTTTTTTTTGTCTTTTTCCTTTTCATCGGTACCGGGGATCGAACTCACGACTGCCTGCTAGCAAGGCAGACACTTATGCCGCTGAGCTAAATCTCCAGCCCCGATCATGGCAAATTTGAGATCAGCCTGGGCTACACTGTCTTAAAAAAACTCAAAAGTTTTTTCCTTGTTACTTTTACTGCATATTTAGAAGTTTACTATCAGTGCTTACCCTGGGGGTTCCAGTGAATATATTACTTCATAACAATAAAGGTAAAATTAATATCAATTTAATTTCAATAACATAAAAACTTCCCTTTTCTCCTCAATCCTTTTTTTTGGTCATACAAATAACATCTTTGTACCTTATGTGTCCACCAACACTGACTTGCAGTTGTTTCCAAGAAATTGTTTTTTAAATCAGATGAGATTTTTATGTTGATTATAGCATTTATTTTTAAAATTTTTTTCACTAGATTGTTTTTTAAAACAATGTTTCAGCCCCTTTTCCACTGAAAATATGTGGTGCTTTTTAATTTTAGAGAGAATAAAACCAAGCAAAACAAAACAGAATAAAGCCAATCAAAACAAGACAGTGTGGCTGGGGATTTAGTTCAGTGGCTAAGGGCCTGTCTGGCAAGTGTGAGGTCGGTATCTTTTTATCTTGTTTACCTAGTCAGCTTTCTGGCTCTCTGTATTTCTTCATATGCATTCTGATCATGATCTTCCACTCTGCAATTCCAGCCCAAAGGACTCCCTTTAGTATTTCTTGCAGGGGAAGTTTTCTAGTAATGACTTATTGCCCACTAGGATGTTTGTTTTTTTTTTTTTAACCTGGCATAGGGGCTGGGGATTTAGCTCAGCAGCATAAGCGCCTGCCTTGAAAGCAGGCAGTCATGAGTTTGATCCCTTGCACCGGTAAAAACGAAAAAGCCAAAAAAAAAAAAAAAAAAAAAAAACCCTGGCATCACCAAAAAAAGGAACTCTCATTTGTTGCTGATAGGAAAGCAAAACGGCATAGAAACTTTGTTTTTGGTTTTTTGCAGTGCTTGAGATTGAACCTAGGCCATGCACATGCCACACAGCTGCACTCCCAGCCCCAGTGTGGCCACTTTGGAGAACAGGCAGTTTCTTATAAAACTTTCTATGTTACCCAGCAATTGTATACCTGGTGTTTATCCCAAGGAATGAAAATAAATATTCACACAAAAACCTGCAATGTTCTATTCTTTTCCTTTTCTTTTCTTTTCTTTTCTCTTTTTTTTTTACTTTTTGAGACAGGGTCTCCCTGTGCAGTTCATGATGGCCTTGGGCTCACTTTGCAGCCCAGATTGGTCTCAAATTTGCAATGATCTTTCTGCCTCAGCCTCTTGAGTGCTGGGATTATAGGAGTGCACTACCACACCCGGCTATAGTGGCTCTATTCTTTTTTTTTTTTAATTTTATTTAAAAGGAAAAAGAGAAAAAACAAAACAAAAAGCAGTGTAAGGGTACAAGTAATACAGAACTACAAAAAAAAAAAAAAACCAGTAAGAAATCACCAGTTAATAGATTACACATTATCATCTTAGAGATAGTTGCTCAAGTCACAGTATCAAAGCATACAAAGTGGACATGCAAACCGTGAGACTGTAAACAGTTGTGTTCAATGATCCAACCAAAACCATTAATATGGTCATATATTTAGCACCCTTAAACACACTTGCAGTTGCATCCTTTAGAGCACTTTTTTTCCCTCTCTTTTTTACAACAAAATTTACACATTTTGGGTTTTATTACTCCTTAGTTCTTATTACTTTTTTTTTTGGAAGAGAATAAAGTCAAATATGGCAAAACAAAGCTGTCAGTCAAAACCAAGGATAGACATAGCACATGATGCAAAAACAGAGTACAAGGTTATCAACAATGGTTACCATGATGCCTCTTACTTCCTTAAAAAGAATTGTCTATCTCATTAAGTATTATAAAGTTGAACAAAACAGTAGAGAACAAGACCAATAATGGCTCTATTCTTAATTTCCCAAATTTGGAAGTCACCCAGATGTCCTTCAGCAGAATGGATAATTATGGTGCGTTCCCAGGTACAGTAACAGAATATTGTTTGGTGTTAAAAGAAATGTACCATCAAGTCATGAAAACACACAGAGGGACCTCAAACGTGTATTACTAAGTGAAAGAAGCCAGTAGGAAAGGGCTACCTGCAGTATGTCCAACTATATGACATAGGAGAGAAAAGGTGAAACTATGTATTATTACACGTGTGTCAAAATCCCTAAAATACTTAACACCAAGACGGAATTGTAACATAAATTAGGGATTTTAGGTGATAATGGTATCTCAGTATGGATTCCTAGCTGGTGGTAATGCAATTATGTAGCCTGGAATGTTGACAGTTGAGTAGGCTGTGTGGGGCAGGCAGTGCTGTGAGAGCTCTCAGAACTTTCTGTTCTGTTTTCTGTGAGCCTGAAACTGCACCACCATATTCAGCTAATCTCTTGTGTTTTCTTTAGGTGGAGTGTTTAATCCACTTGCATTAAATGTAATATGGTTAATTTAAATATACCATCTTGTAATTTATTTTCCATTCATATCACTTATTTCTTTTATTGTAATACTTTATATTCTTTACTGTATGTATGTATATCTTTTTGAAACAGAGTTTCACTATGCAGTTCAGGCTATCCTTGAACTCACTTTGTAGCCCAGGTTGGTTTTGAACTCCAAGAGATCCTCCTGCCTCAGAGCGCTGGGATTACAGGCATGTATTACCACGCTCAGCAACACTTTTAATTATACATTTAAAAATTAACCTATGATTACCCTGAAGATTACAATAGGCATCCATAATTTATTAGAATCTACATTAATTAGCACGATTACTTTCTGAACAATGGAAACAGCCTAAAAAGATGAATTGATTCTCCTCCCACCTTTTGTTTTATCATTGCATATATTATTTTTCTGCACTTGTTTTATTGTGGTACGGGAGTCAAACCCAGGGGTGCTCTACTACTGAACTACACCCAAGTCCTCTTTAAATTTTTTGAGACAGTAGGATTAAAAAAGAAGAAACATCGTATACATGTACCAGTTCAACGCAATAAATGTTAGTATGTGGTGCATAACGATTACATGCCCAGCCCCAAGAAACCAGATCTGTCTTAAAGGGAAGGGGATCCAGAGAGGGAGAAAGAGAGGGGAAGGAAGGGAGAAGAAAAAAGAATTGAGTTCTGTGTATACGCCAACTCTCCACAACAAATGTAATCATTATGTACTGCAAACATGAACTAATAAAAAGTAAAAACTTGGAAGAGGGGAAATATTCCTCTGTAACAACAGGAACTCGCCGTTGCCCCGGAGGAAGCCCAGGCAGGAACCTTGGCAAGTCCTAATGCTGGTAGCACCTTATGCGGAACCGATTGTGACAGTGCCCGGTTTCCGGCCGGCGCTACCTAAGTGCGGCGTGCGTGCAGGCTGACGCGACTGCGTGTGGGTGGGCGCGGCGGTGGTTGAGGCGGCCGCTGAAGCGGCGAGCGGCCAGCGGTGTTCACATCCCGGCCACCATGAGCACCAAGCAGGTCACTTGCAGGTCAGCGCGTGGCGCTTCGAGTTCCGCCCCTGGGGACACTGAGGCGGGGGCGGGACTGGGGAGAAGTTGTCTAGGGGTCCACCGCGGGAAACTGGGCGCTGGGTAGGGAGCTGGGGCGCTAGGGACAGTCCCGCCCAGTCCAGTCCCGAGCCAGGCAGTCGCTCTGATGCCGGCTCTGTGGGCGTCGTCGCCGTCCTCACTGTGACCGCAGGGCCGCGCTCGCTTTTCTCTGGCAGGGAACCGAGCCCGGCGGAGCTCCCATGATGCCCTGAATCTTGCTGGGTCTCCTTGGAAACCTGAGGGTGGTTGTGTTACTGGAGGCCGTGGTTACTCGCCTGCGATTCGGGCCTGTGGGCCATAAGTGGGGAGTACAGGTTGGGCATCCTGTCTGGAAATCCGAACCGCGAAGTGCTTTCAAAACCCTTTTACAACGCCCTGAACGCCCGCAGGACGCCACAAGTGGAAAATTCCACATCACAAAAGTTTGTTTCATGGGCAAAAATGCGGCGTAAGATTATCTTCAGGCTAGGCGTGTAAAGTGTGTTTGCGATATGATGAATTTTGTTGTAAACTTTGGTCCCATCCCCCAGCTTAAGTGAGTGAATATTCTAAAATCGAAAAATCCAAAAGTCAAAACACTTACTGTCTCAAGCATCTTGGAAAAGGAATACAAAACCTCCAAATTTTAATTGGGTTCAGTAAAACGTGCTTGGGCAATATTTTTAAATGTTATCTCTCTTCATTGATGTAAATGACTGAGAAATGATGGAGTTTGGTTAAAATTAGATATTAACCGTTAAGCCAATTTTAACCAAAGGCCCAGGCATATGTTAAGCAGTTGTTAGAAATTTGCCCTTAGAGCTGGGTGAGGTGGTGTGGTGCATACCAGTAATACCAGCAGTCTTGAGGCTGGGGCAGGAGGATCACATATTCAGACCCAACCTGGACAATTTAATGATTTATGGAGGTTGTATCTCAAAATTAAGCCAGGCGTGGTGGCACATGCCTGTAATGCCAGCATTCAGGAGGCTGAGGCTGGAGAATCTCTGTGAATTAGAGACTAGCCTGGGCTCCATAGTGAGTTCAAGGCCAACCTGGACCACATAGCAAGACCCTGTCTGAAACAAAAAATCAAAGTAAAATCTCAAGATTTTCTGAAGTAAATAAAAAGTCGGGAGGCTCAGTGCACAGGCCCTGGGTTCAGTCCCCAGTACCAAAATATATATTACAGTTAGTATCTGTAAAAATACCTTTACTAGATTGTGTTTAAAGGTCTTCTGTAAAGACCTGAGAGCTTTAATTCTGTTTCCCAAACAAGAGAATCTTGTGGGACAGTGATGGCAGATCTTTTAGAGATAGAATTCCAAACTGCAACCCCAAACCCACTTATTTATTGCAGAGTGCTAACCCTGCAAGTAAACCTGAATACTGAAGTTTTAGTGTAGAAAAAATAACTACAGTAGTATCTCTTTGTCTTCAAAGAAAAACACAGTAACACATATATCAAAGAGTGATCACCAGCACTTCTGTAGAGTGTTACTACATATAAACTAAGAGTGAGTTGGAATTTAGGAACTTCTGTTCAAGCATTAATTCACATTTGTTGAGGGGCTTACAGTGTCCTGAGGCTTCTTAGGAGTGCCGTATCAGGCATACAGTATGTAATCCTTCAATCTGTTAGGTATATCCCACTGATAATATCACTGAGCCTCAGCATTCAAAGTCTTGCCCAAGTTTTTACAGCTTCCAGACGGTAGACGTGGTGTGACATCAGGGTTCATGCTTTCATATACTTAAAGCCTCCATATAAGTTTGGGAATATTAGTAAGTTGTTTACTGCAGGACTTCAAGGGCAACACAAAAACATATAGAAAGGAAAAGAAATGTAAAAGGATGCAAAAGGTCAGGCCTTGCCAAATAAAAAACAGAAAAGGAATTTGAATGGAAAAGATTGCAGTAGTACCAAGTGTACCAAGTTTACATAAAAACACAGTTCATGGTGGAGAAGCTTTTCTCCTTTAATTGTCTTATTCATAGAAGCCTTACCCAGATAGCAATAACTTGCAGAAAATATTCAAGGTCTGATTTATCTGTGGGTCTAGGTGTAAGCAAGCATGCTTAGCTGTTTTGGTTTTTCTCAGGTTATGAAGTGCTTTGTTTTCCTGACTCTGGGATATGATTACTTTCTTTTTTTTTTCTCTCTCTCTTTTGTTTTTGGTACTGGGGATAGAACTCACAACCTCAAGCTTGCCAGGCAGATGCTTATGCCACTGAGCTAAATCCCCAGCCTGATTACTTTCTTACGCTGCGATGCTGCGTGGCAGCAGAACAGTTTTCCATCCTGATACGCATTATGTCTTCTCAAGGGTTGCCTGTCAAATGCTAGCATGTTGAGACCTGATAATGATAGAGGTAATCTAGTAGTGTGTTTCCTGGAATCTCTGGTCTAGTTCATCATGTGGCTGTGCAGTCATTTCTGTAATTCCTGGACAAACGTCCCACTCTATCAAAACCTTCAGGAGGGGGATCTCTTTGCTGATTTTTGCCTCCTAAGCATCTCTTGGGTTTTCCCCACTGTTTCAAAGCCCTGGTGCAGGCCCTTACTATGGCTTGGCAAGCACTTTCCTTTCGAGATTCCTTCATCTGATAGTTGCTTTTGAAGACCTAGACTTTTAGTTTCCTGTGATGGTGTGGCTTAAAGTCACACAACATGAAAGATCTTGTCTGTTTGTTAATAGCAGGAAGACTTGTACTCCAGAGTTGAGCAGTGCCAAGTTAGCAACCAAAGTTAGCGGTGCTGCCACCCATGCCACAGTTTCCTCATCTGTGAAATGAGACTAGCTGTACCTCACCCCTATGGTTGGTTAAAAAACTGATGGCAACAAACCATCATAGAGTGTTTTCTTTTTCTTACAGAATTGAGACTGGAACCAATGGCCCTGGGCATGCAGGGGCATGTACTACCTGAGTGAGCCACACTCTCAGCCCTTACTGTGCTGGGGTAAGCACTTAAGCATGGTCTCAGTGAACAGACCAGGAGGCCATCAGCAGCCCTTGAAGAAAGTACAGGCATTGCAGTTATGGTGCAGATGGGGAGGCAGGCTTGGAAGGTTAAAGCATTTGCTCTAGGTCACATAACAGTCTGCATCCAGCATCTCCATACCACATTATACAATACTGTCTTTCTTCCCACCTCTGAATAATATGTATGTTTCAAGCCCACCATCATCTGCCCCTCCCTTTAGTGGATCTGTCATCATAGTACAGCCATAAAGTCTGACCTGTGAAAATATAAAGAAAAGTGACTCTTGATAGTGCAGATTACCCAGTTATTTGGAAATGATTTGTAAAAGTGTTTTGCTAAAGAGATGGACTGCATCAAAGGGCCTACAAGAAACCAAACTGATTCTGTTTGGCTCAACTCTCAGCTGCAGCTGTTGGCAGTATGTGGCAGTAATGAACCTGATGTCCTTTGTGATGTATAATCCCCAGACTGTCTGAATCCCCTTTCTGGCCACTGAGAGTGACAGAGACCTTTGGAGCATTTCCCAGTCTGCAGCTATGTGCTTCCTCTCCAGTCCTTCCCCATCTCCAGTCTGTCTCATTCATCTCTCTGGGATAATGAGGAAGGAAGCCTGAGCAGTTAGAAATTTATTACAAAATACAACATAAAAGAGGCCTTGATTAGGCTTATAACATGGGTGAAGAGGAATGACTGGGTAAATGAGAAAAGTACCCCAAGGGACAGGTAGGGTATGCTCAAGATTTTACTTGTCTCAGGAGTGAAACTGGTGATATGTACTACAAAAGTAGGACTTGCTGGGGGACAGTACTGAGGATTGAATCCAGAGCTTTGCACTGAGTTACAACCCCAGCCTTTAAAAAATTTTTGCAATTAGTTGCCCATGTGGAGCTTTTGAACTTGCAGTCCTCCTGCCTCAACCTCCCAGAGGTTTACCACCACCACACCCAGTTTAGTACATTTTATATAACATTTTGTGAAGGCAGTGGTGGTCTAAAAATTATTTTTGAACGTGTTTAAATCTCTACTTGGTCACTTAACAGACATGTAGTAAGTGATTTGCACAGAGTCACCAACATAAAAGTGGCAAAAATGACCAGAAGTTAACTGCCAACCCGTTAACCATCTGGGATTTAATTGGAAAAGATAATTAAAACAGTGTGGAGGGCCAGCTTGCTGAACAAGAGTTACTGAAGTTAATGGTGGAGTTTTAAAAGGAAACCTTGTAGGATACTGAAGTATACCTAGAACAGTCTTCCTGTTGCCTGCCTGGTAACTGTGGTGGAGGACCTCTGGTATCTTATACTTTCCAGGAAATCTTCTGGTCTACTTTTTCTGTAGGCAGCTGTAGAGTATTTGGTACATTTTTTTGTGGAACATTATGTACCATTTTGCACCTGTTAGAGAACCTCTTCCATGTTGCTGAGTTCACCAATTTTGATCTACTTTGTCAGGCAGACTTGACTACTGACACTGTTGTTTTTGTTTTGTTTTATTTTGTTAATAATTATATCTTCAAGGAGCAAAGATTATTACTGCATTTGAAGATAACTGAAATAATGTTGCTGTCTTGCATAGCATTTCTCAAAAAGAATGTCGAAGCCCTGCCTGGTGGAGAACACCTGTCATTCCCGCCATTCAGGAGACTAAGCAGAGTCTCTTGAGGCTGGGAGATGGACACTAGCCTGGGCAGTATAATGAGACTCAGTATAATGTACTAAGGGATTCCCATGCTCTCCCTACCTCTAGAAATTAGCTGGAAAGACTTTGGACTCAGACAGGTGTTTCCAAGGCTACAGTGATTACAGTGGTATAGCAGGAGGTACTGCAGGCATGGGGTACAGACTGTGTGCTGCAACTCCTCCCCAAGAAGGTGTCTAGCACACTCCCCCAACAGTAACAGTGCCACCTGTATGCCTGGGGACCCCATCAGCAATAGAGCCCAGGCTGTTTAAGAAGGGCTCTTCTGCCTAACTATAGCAGAATTCCAGACTCCAGAGAGGAAAGCAGGGCCATGGCATTAACAGCATTATTTGACACACACTTTGGGCCCCATCAGCTCTGCATCATCAAAGGAAATGTTGATCAAGATAGGGAGCTCCACATCAGCCCAGTCTCCATGTGTCAGGCATGGGCTTGCCTCTGGCCAGCTGTCAGGGATAGCAGTCTGCATACCTAATGGCATTACTGTTTTTGTTTTGGCACTGTTGTGGATTAAACTCAGGACTTTGCCATCTTGCCAGGCAAATGCTTTACACAGAGCTACATCCACACCTCTCCTTTTGTTTTTAAAGTAACCCATCCTGGCCTTATAGCTAGTCACTAAATGGTGTCTGATCTTGTGGTCAAGTGCCAGGGGGCCTATTTCCTAGGGAAAGCGTGGCTGTCCTCCTTGAAAAACTCCTTGGCCCCCCAGGTAGTCCCTAGGTCACAGGTCTATGTCTTTTGTTTGTGGGCTCAGCAGTTGCTTCTGTTAGCAGACATAGAGGTCCTTTTATTATTCCCTGAGGAAAAGATGCTATCTGGTGACCAGGTCAGCATATCTCCCTTTGAGGCCAGTGAGAAATTTGCTTGGTAGACAAGGGCAGTGTTTTGCTTGTGTCCAGCTGAGGAAACCTGGAGCAGATGTGTAGCAGTGGACACAAGTGCAGCTACTTGTGTCCACTAGTCCCTTTGTCTGGATACATTGGCAGGCTGGCCTTCCCTAAGCTTCTGCTGTTCTTGGAGACTGTCTCCTTGCTTCTGTTATGGTACCTTGAACTTTCCAGGTCCAGATAGAGCCATGAAGGGTTAGGCTTTCTGCATACGCTTGCATTTAGTCATGTTCCAGTTCTAGTTCCAGTTTTCTTCTGAACTTAATCCCAGGCCTTCTTAGTTAAAGACCAGATGTTCCCTGCCATGTTCAAGAGCACTTGCTCTCAGGGGTCTGCACCTTAAATTGGACAAACCTGTAGTGCACTAGTACCTAGTGTGTGGGGACTGGCCCACATGAGATTTCTTGGATTAGCCATACTGCTTTGTAAGTGAATTATAATGATTTAGTGGCAGGAAAATTGAGTGCAGTGTGGACAAGGGCCATAATGTGGATGGTAAAATGGATTTTGGTAGGGAAATTTTAGGGCTGTCTGTAAAAACCAGGGCTATTGCTGAGGATAGCGGTAACTTCCTCAATTCTGAGTCTTACCTTCTGTTACCTTCCCATATACCTTACCTCCCATATGCATCACAGGGTTGAATACTGCTCCTTGTGGCAGAGCTGGGGTTAAATGAGATAAAGGAATGAGAGCTAAACAGGATTGACAGTTACTGTTCATCTTCTTGTGTTTTTTTCATTTCATAGATTTTTCCTAATGGGCTTGTTTAGAGGGAAGGAGGACTCTCTGCCTTTTCCCTGAAGTCTCCTTCCAAACAAGATGTGAAGCTCCCTCTTTGCAGATCAGGAGCCAGCTCACCCAGTGCGAGGGGTGGGCAGGAAAACCAGGCATCTCAGGGCTGTGCCTGCCCTTCAGGCTGCTATGTAGATGTGTAAAACTCCTGTAATGTGTTTTTAAAATAAAGTTAAAACATGGGTTCACAAATAAGGATTCTTTACAGAAGAGTTTCAGACCCCAGAGTGGCTCTTTTCTATGGTTTTTCCTGCTTGGGACTGTCACTATAACTCAGGCAGGTGTCCTGGGAAGAGTGCTCTATGTCTCTCCTCAGCTCTACAAAGCTTTCTGATGGACTTGTGCCTCGTGCTTTTTGAGGCATTGGCACCAGGGTGTTTCAGGATTGGCAGGAGACCGTTGCCCACCCTCACCTTGGCGCCTAAAGTCTCTGTTTGCTCTCTAGCACATGCTCTTTCCAGTGCCATCTCCTTCTAATGCCTTCTGCAAGTCTGTGGCCTGACACCCCTCAGCTCTTATTTCTTTTCTTTTTTTCTGTTTTAGTTTTTGGTTTTTGCCTTTTTGATATAGGGTCTCATTGTATAGTCCAGGTTGGTCTTAAACTCACTATTAGCACAGGCTGGCCTTAGACTCAGTAACCATCTTCTGTCAGCTCTGCAAGTGCTGGAATTGTAGGCATGCACCACTATACAGCACTAGTTTCTGTCTCTTCTATTTCCCAGTGCCAGTCTGCATTCATTAAACAGTTTGCCAGTGTCTGTTACTGTTCTTAATAAGAGCTGCACTTGTTTGGATGCTGTGTTAGCTTTTGAAAGTTTGCTTTGACAAAATACCTGAAAGCCAGGCATGGTGGCACACGTCTATAACCCCAGCTACCTACGAGGCTGAGACAATTTATCAAGACCCCATCTCAAAATTTAAAAAACCAATTGGGCTGTAGTTCAGTGGCTGAGCCCTGGCCTAGCATGTGAGTGAGACCTGGATTCACTGTGCGTTACGATGAAGAAACAATCAAAACCCTCAGAGAAACCATTGAAAAGGAGGAAAGTTTTATTTTGGTTGTGGTTTTTTTTCTTGTCTTGTGAGGGTAGATTTTGTTTACCTGGAAATCATAAGCTTATATAAATAAAAAATTATAAGTTTCTCCTCTTTATTGGAAAGAGGGGAAAAATGAGATAGACAGCTACCTTGTCAGAGTAAGGTGGGGAGCTTGGAGCTAGTGCTCAAGGGTCTTTGCCTGTCATTATATGGCAAAAAAAGACGTACACCTTCTTGAGAGTTGTCCTCAACTTGTTGATTGACTGTTTTGGGCTCTGAGACCCTGATTTAGACACTGACCCCTCCATTGCCCATGTGCACATTCTTTGATGAGCTCATGTAGCATTTTCCAAGCTACTTTCTCTAAAATACATGATGGGCCTCATGTACAAGGCCCAGCCAGCAGTTAGCACTATGTTTTAGTGCAGTATTATGGTGAGGGAATATATATATATGTGTGTGCACATACATTTGTAGGTGTGAGTATACTGAGTTTTCTGTAACATAGCCCCTCCCACTTTGTCAACTTTGTACTAAACTAGCGCCCTGGTGCCAAATGGGGCCAAGGTGCTTCTCTTAATTCCTGTCTCTAGCAAAGGTTTTAACTCTTTATAGTCAGGGTTTGCCAGAATCCTCCCTAAGGCCCTTACCTTTCCCTGCCCATCCCCTAACTTTCCCTAATTTCAGAGAGCTGTTTCTTTTCTAGGCCTGTGATAGGTTGAGCAGCATGGCCTCCAGAGAAGGATGGGGCAGAGGAGGAGGAGATACATTATAGATCCAAATTCTTAAAAGGTACCACTGTAGGCTGGGTAATGTACTGAGCATTTTATATACCATGTTAAAACCACATCCTTGGATTAGTTGTCTTCATAATTTGTAAAGCTAAAACCACCTTTAGTGTTACCGAGGCAGTGTACGTTCATGGTGGAACTGTTAGAATGTACAGATCCTCAAAACTAAAACCATGTACCAGGAATGGGGAATGCGCCTCAGTGGTAGAGCACTTGCCTAGCATGCACAAAGCCTTGGCTTCCATCCCTAGCACTGCAAAAACACAAACAAAAATACTGTATACTGGCCCTCAGGGATCACCCCTTTTTTAACACACTGTTATGTATGAGAGTTTTTATATAATTTACAATGTTTTTTTTTAATCAAAATGGGCCATTCTATATATGCTGGCTTAAAAGCTTGTAGCAAACTACATAGAGTAGCATAAATTTTACTACCTTAGCCCTTTTTTTTTTTTTGGTACTGGGGATTGAACTCATGACCTCAGGCTTGCCAGGCAGGCGTTTAGGCCGTTGAGCTAAATATCCGGCCCTCATGTTAGCCATTTTTAGGTTTATAGTTGTGAGTACATTCACATTTTTGTCTAACCAAATCCACATCTTTGCCTTGCAAAAGTGAAATTCTATACCCAGTAACAATAACTCCCCTTTTTCTGTTCTCTCCAACTCTTGGCAACCACCATGCTAGTTTCTGTCTATTTAACTAATCTAAGTACAGTAAGTGCCTGACAGGTGAACATTTGAGTTGCAAACTTTCTCAGATATGGCTTCAGACTCATTTTGTCAGACTTGTAAAGGAATCTGACTTACAAACTTTTTCCTGGAATAGAACTCATTCAGAAATGGAGGATTTACTGTACTTCTGTGGCTTGTAATTTTGTGACTGACTTATTTCACATAGTATAATGTTCTCCAAGAGTCATGCATATGATAGCTTGTGTCAGAATGTCTTTCCTTTTAAGGATGAGTGCTGTTCCATTTCATGCTTATACTAGTTTACCCATTCATCTATCCATAAACACTTGGCTTGCTTCCATCTTTTGGTTGTGATTAATGCTGCTGTATGAATATGGGTATATAAAAAGAGACACAGTACTGTCTTTGGTACTTTTGTATTAATACCTAGAAATGGAATTATTAGACTATAAGATAAATCTATTTTAAACTTTTTTTTCAATAGCAGTTGTAGCTGGGGATTTAGCTCGGCGGCATAAGCGCCTGCCTTACAAGCGTGCAGTTGTGAGTTGGAACCCCAGTACAAAAAAAAAAGGCAGCTGTACTATTTTATTGTATATGCTTTTATAATCTGTTCTTTTCAGTTAAAAGTTATTTATTTTGCTTAATACCTAATGTGTACTCACATTTTCCCAGTTGTCTCTGCTTTGTCCAAACTAGAATAGAATCCAGGACTGAATACTGCATCTGATTATTATGTCCCTTCAGTTGGCTGCTAACCTATCATAAGGCCTTTTTTCTTTTTCTAATTTATGTCTATATTTATACCTTATAAAATCAACAGACTGTTTTACACTACTCTAAAGGTTTACTTGTCTGGATTTACAAGTACATATCAGTGGGTACTATCAGAGGGCAGCAATGTGCTACTTTACAGTAACACATTCAGCTCTCTGTAAAGGAAGGCCTGTGATGTTCACCTCCTGGGTATTTTCCCCCCAAATTTGAAAAGATCATGTGATATATGTGCATGCATGTGTATAGCAGCATTATTTCAGGACTAGCTTGTTCTTCATGCCAAGACATGTCCTTGTGGGGTCTCTGTTTCCCCTGAGGGAATTTTGTAATAGCTAATTTTGGAAACAACCAAAATGCCCATTAACCGCAGAGTGGGAAAAAGAGGTGGTATTTTTATACAATGGAATATCCCTCAGCTATAAAAAGGATGATCTTGAAGCCTTTATAAGTAACTTGAGACCATCCTCATAAGAGAAATAAGACTCACATTTGTAAATATCAAATTTTCTCTCTAGTGTAAAAAATAATAAAAATTGAAAGAGTAATAAGATCCAAAATGTATAGTATATACTGTAAAGGAGAAAGGGAAGCAAAGTGCTCTAAAGGATATAACTATGTATATGTCTGTAAGATAGATGACCATATACTAAGTTTTCCTTGGCTCATTGAACAAAATGGTTTGCACTGTCAATGTTTCAATGTCTCTCCACTTTTTATGCTTTGATTTTGTAACTTGAACAACTATTTCTAAGAAGGCACTATGTAATTTATCAACTAGTGATTTTTTGTTTTTTTTGTTGGTGGTGGTGGTGGTAGCAGGGATCCAACTCACCACCTCACACTTGCTGAGCTGGTGCTTAAGCCACTGAGTTAAGTCCCCGGCCCCAACTAGTGATTTCTTAGTGTTAATTTTTTTTTGAAATTCTATATTATTTCTACCCTTTTATCTGTTTTTCCTTTACATAAAAACAGAAATAGGTAACTAATGCATTTTAAGATATTAAAGTATTAGCAAGTAATTTTATAGTATACATAGACATTTTAGATTGTCATCACTAGAAACATGCCAATTTTGGGAGGTGGGTAAGAAGAATATATTTATTGGGAAGGAAAGCTTCTGAGAGAGAGACAAAAAGACACAGAGACAGAGAAACAGAGAGACAGAGTCAGAGACACTGACAGAGAGAGCTCTTTTTTCTTTTTTTTAACAACTCTATTGAAATATAATTTACATACAAAATTGCCTCTTGGAAGTATAGAATACAAAGATTTTTAGTGCTATCACCACAGTTAAATTTTAGTATGTTTTGTCATCCCAAAAGATCCTTCGATTAGCAGTCACTACACCCTTGGTACTGCCCTAGCCTCTGCAACCACGCAGTCCTACTTTGTAGTGTAGCTCTATGCTTTCTGAACATTGCATATAAATGGAATCAGACAATATGTGGGTTTGTGTCTGGCTCCTTTCAGTGTGTTTGGTCTAAAATGCTGTTTTATTTCAGGACTAGCTTGTCCTTCATGCCAAGACATGTCCTTGTGGGGTCTCTGTTTCCCCTGAGGCTTCAGGCAACGCTGCTCCAACTGGATGGACTTAAAATGCCTCCCAATTACTTTGTACTCTGGTTATTCTGGACCAAGATTTGGTCTCTCAGTGGAATTTTCTCATATACAGCTTTTGTTACCACACTGTCCCATGGTACTTGAGTCTCACTACAACTACCTAGTAAAGGGTAGGTAGTATAATCATATTTTGGATAAAGGTAGCAAAGAGGAGGGAGTTGGTTTTGTGAGCTAGTGGTGACTTGCAGAGGTGGATTCTGAGTCTAGGTCTGACTGCATTAGAGCTATACCGTGTGAGAGCTCTGATGCCAGGCATACACAGCCATAATCCTGGCACTTGGAGGCTGGGGCAGGAGGATCACCATGAGCTTGAGGACAGTCTGGACCATATAATAAATTCAAGGCCAACCTGAATTACACAGCGAGATCCCATCTCCAAAAAAAACAGGGCCAAAGATTTAGCTCAGTGGTATAGGTGCCTGTCTAATGAGCACAAGGTTGTGAGTTTGATCCCCAGTACTAAAACAAACCCAAAAAACCCAAAAACCTTTATTTTTTCAAGTATGAGACTCACATTCTACATATTTATTACACCTGAAATCAAGAAACTGTATTTGATATAAAAGACTTCTGGGGTCATTTTATTTTTCTTCCAGAAAAGCTGTCCTGGAGTCATCGTCTTAGCATCAGGAACTCTCTCTCTCTCTCTCTCTCTCTCTCTCTTGAGAGCCTAGTACAGCCTGAAGCACAGTGTCCACATGGTGAGCCACAGTGTAGTGGGTTGAGAATGTGCTAAGCAGCATGTCTTGCTTGTCTCTGCAGGTACTTCATGCACGGGGTGTGCCGAGAGGGCAGCCAGTGCCTGTTCTCACATGACCTGGTCAACAGCAAACCATCCACTATCTGCAAGTACTACCAAAAAGGCTGCTGTGCCTATGGGACACGGTGCAGGTACGAATGCGGTGCCCCGGCTTCCACATGCATGGAACATGGGTATCCGTGAGGGGAATTCCAACTCAGAGAAATAAGACCTTATAGACAAATGGAAAATACTTGAAAAGCTGTTTCAGTTCCTAAAACTACGTTTGATTTTCAGTGCCACTTTTCAGGCCCTAGTCTTATGAATAAGTAAAATCTTAAATCTCGCTTTTTTGCCCCGGAAATGTGTCCCAAGCTTTTGCCTGTGGTGCTTCTCTGTCTCATGGTAATTCTGTAGTGTTTCATACTGATGTGCTGTCCTTGATGAATGTGTGGGTGCCTTGGCAGCACTCACTCCTCCCAAAGCTGTCTCTGGGGAGTTTTACAGCTTCCAGATGCAGCAGGGTATGAGCTGATGGGGTCTTGAGTGGTGGGGACCTCCGCCCTCACTCATGGTAGCTGCCACAGCCCAGCTCTACTGAACTGAGCTGAAACTACTGAGGTGTCTAGAGCAGTGTCCTGTGGACACTTGTGCAGTGCCCCATACCAGGTGTGCTACTCTCTCTCCAATGGCCAAGTGTAGTACCTGCTATAGATGACTCTTCTCATCCCCACTACTGTTGGAAAGATGAGTAGGGGAGCTGAGGGACTGGAGATGACTAACTTCTGCCACGTTCTGTTCAGGTATGATCACACAAGGCCCTCAGCTGCAGCAGGGGGCGCTGGGGGCCCTCCACCCCCCACTCGGCCCTCCACAGCCTTCCCAAGTCCTCAGCCTTCTTCCGACCTCACAACAGCTACCATGAGAACGCCATCCCGAGAGCCTGGGCGTCGGGAGAAGAGGACACTGGTGCTCAGAGACCGGAGTGAGTGAGCAGGGCTCCACTGCCCTATGAGACACCGTGGGTCTGTGCTTGATGCTTTGTGTTGGCCTTTCCCATTAAGACCCTCTAATCCTCACACTCTAGGTCCATGTGGCTGCAGAGTACTGAGCTCAGGGCCATGCTTGACCTGCAAAACATGAGATATTTTGTCACCATGTCATTGCCATCTTCACAATGTGGAGGCTCACTTTGAAGCTGCTTGTTTGGATAAAGGGTGGGTTTTTAAGCTCATGCAGTGTTGATGCTGCATGTACCACCCTGTTGACGGTGTGGGTCACATCTTTGGGAGCCTATCAGGGTTAAAGTGGGCTGTACCCTGGAGATGGCACAGATAGTACGAGTTGCTTTCACTGGCTGGCTCTTTCTAGTTCCTGAATAGGCAATTTCTATCCTCAGCAGGGGAGTCTGCAGGTCTAGCAGCTCAGGCAGAGGTGCACCAGGCAACCTGACCTCATCCTAAATATCTTTTGGTTTAGGTTTGGGGGTAGGTTTAGTGTTAACTAGTCTATGTGTTCACATTTTTGTCTATGTATTTTTAAATACAGAGTATTAAACAGTAGTATTCTTTTGTATAAATATATCATGTTTTGTTCTTTTCCCTGCCTCACCATGTGTGTATTTGTTATGCCATCCTTTTATTCCTTTTTGCCCTGCTTTTTTTTTTTTGCTCTCTGTTCCCAACAGTGGGTTCCTTGGGCCAATGTCACATTGACCATTGGGTTTGGCTAGTGACCCAGTCTCATATGTGCATGATTCATTCTGTGTTAAGATCTCTCAGGACTGGCTGAAGAGAAGACTTCCCCCAGCATGGCCCCAAGTCACCCAGGCAGCTACAGTGACCCCCAGCTTGACCCTGAGATGAAGCCCCATTCCTACCTGGATGCCATTAGGAGTGGCCTTGACAATGTGGAGGCTGGCACCTCCTACAGCAGTGAGCAGCAACTGTGCCCCTACGCTGCAGCCGGGGAGTGCCGCTTCGGGGATGCCTGTGTCTACCTGCATGGGGATGTATGTGACATCTGCAGGCTCCAAGTCCTGCATCCTTTTGACTCAGAGCAGAGGAAAGCTCACGAGAAGGTAATATTGTAGCCCTTGACATGAACTCACTGAGAAACCTGGACAGTAGCAAGAAACAGGATCCCCATTGATTCTACAGCCATCTGTCTGCCAAGAGAACTTGCGTTGTGTCCCTGGTACATTTACATTCCATTTTCAGGAGTTTTAAATACTGTTGTCATTTTGTATTATTTAGAATAAAGAGAAAAAGAATAGGCATCAGAAATGTAAAACACTGCCAAGCTCAGAGAACAGGAGAACCTCAGGATTTTGGGGGATGTGTGTGTGCATATGTTGCTTTCATGTTCATACCTTGTTGTACCTGGGGTCCAAGCACGATGAGTTTTGGAGGTCATGAGGTGCCCTTAGGCGCCACGTGTTTGGCAGGACCTCTTTATCGTGTGCGCCCCAGCATCTCTTGGAAGCTCTGCCTTATCCTAGGCCCTGTGCTTGGCACAGGGTTTTTGAAGAGGGTAGAAATGTGGGGGCTAGTTTTAGATGCCTTACATCAGGAGAGGAGGACTGAATGCTGCTGAGGGGCTGAGCAGTGTGGCTACTTTACAAGAGAAGGCCACTTTGGTATGAATGGCCAGGCATAGAAGTGCTGCACTGTGTCCCTGGGCAGGAATGGGCTGGCTCACTGTGCTCACTTCATTTCTGAGGCCTTGCCTGAGTCCCAGGTTGTGGTCTCAGGGAGCACTGTGACGCTGCCCGACTAGACTGTTGCTACCAGGCCTCAGCTTCAGGCCTTTTCAGCATTTGCGGGGATGGATTATATCAAGAGGCCAGAAGACAGGATCCCAGTCCTTGCAACCTCCCTACCCCCAAGGCTGTCCTCTTAACCCTTCCAGGTCTCTGTGTGGCCTGCAGCCTGCTTTGCAGTCTGATAAGGACCCAAGACCTAAATCTGGCTGCTGGCCTCGCTTATGGCAGACAGGCTGTGGTGGTGTCCCAGAACCTGAACCCCTCACATCATCTGTCACAGGTCTGCATGGCAACTTTTGAGTTCGAGATGGAGAAAGCCTTTGCCTTCCAGGCAAGCCAGGACAAGGTGTGCAGCATTTGCATGGAGGTGATCCTCGAGAAGGCGTCGGCCTCTGAGCGGAGGTTTGGGATCCTCTCTAGCTGCAACCATACCTACTGCCTGTCCTGCATCCGCCAGTGGCGCTGTGCCAAGCAGTTTGAAAACCAGATCATTAAGTAAGTGCGCCTGGGTTGTTCTTAAAGCCGAGGACCTCTGCCCTCTACTGCCGCCCTATGCCTTGATCTCTTGGTCCTGCTTTGTGGATGGGGCAGCTCACTTGGTCTTCCTGAGCCAAATGCCTTTCTTTTCCTCTAGTGATGGTGACAGTTTCTCTCAGGGCCTGGGAGCTCAGCAGAGGACAGGGGTTTAATGTCACTGCTCAGAGCCATCTCTTAGATCTGCCTGTGCCCTTAGGCCAGTTGCCTATAACCTTGTTGGCTGTTTTTCTTTTCACCTTAAAGGGGAAAAAAAGGATTACATGGAATGATATGCTGAGCTGTTTCCCGTGGCCTGGCATATAGATGTGCCCCATGTAGCTGGCACATGTTCAGGGTGGGGGAAGGACACATGCTTGTGTTTCACACTGTTAGCTTGAGGACCCACCCCTGCTGTCCCCTTCATCTTACAGAAAAGGAAACTGAGGCTTGTTGAGTCAGGTCATTAAGTCACACATTTATGTGCTTACCCAGCAGCTTTAGTGAGTGGCATTTTGTATGCGTCAGACCTATTTTCATCTGATAGTCATTTATTACCTTCCAGCTATTTGCCCCTTTTCTACAACTGCCTGTAACTGGGCATGATGTCCTACTGAATGGCAGATGCCATCCCCTCACCTGTCCTTCCACTGGTGAGCATTGGATTTCCCTGCTCAGCCTTAGGAGTGTTGTGCCCCTGCATACGGTGGACAAGTCCTGTGTGGGCAGGTTTGCATGGTTCTAGGTATGCTCCAGGATGGGATTCCTGGGTCTTAGGCAGCTCTGTGCTGAACAGACTTTTTCCAGAATGGCTGCTGACACTTGGACTTGTCTTTTTCCAATTGGATCCAACCTCAAGGATGCAAAGTGGGCTCTCATCTTGGTCTTCATTTGCATTTCAGCATCTTTTGAAGTGCTGTTTTCAGCAGTAAGTGTCATTCTTAGATGATTTGACCTCAGGGATCTGTGGTGGAGACACTTATAGGAGCAGCCTGGGTTTTGAAGTAGGCTGTGCACAGCATTCATGACAGCATTGCTCCCTTACTAACCTGATTCTTGTTTCAGGTCTTGTCCAGAATGCCGTGTAATATCCGAGTTTGTCATTCCAAGTGTGTACTGGGTAGAAGATCAGAATAAAAAAAATGAGTTGATCGAAGCTTTTAAACAGGGGATGGGGTAAGTGCCTGGAATTCATAGGACCCTAGTGCCATCCTGTCTGCAGTTTGACCTTTGCCTTCTTGAACCTGGGTTGCCTGGTTTATCCATTCTCCTACTAATGGATACCCCAGTTTCTAATTATGGCTGTTCAGAACACTTCAGAATTCCACTTAACATATAGTATTTTATATATCTGTATCTGTGTGTGTATATATGTGTACGTGTGTGTGTATGTGTGTGTGTGGTATTAAGATCAAATCCAGGGCCTCACTAAAGTACTAGACTATAGAGCTGGGGATATAGCTCAGTGGCACAGTGACTGCTTGGCAAGTGCACGGTCCTGATTCCCTGTAGGTGGGGGGCAGACAGACGGACATTTGAGCTAAAGTACTGGACCACTAATCTATATCCTAGTCAGCTTGACCCCTTTATAATTTATAGAGATTTCATAGTTTTTCCTACCAACTTGTATGCCTCATTACTATCTCTTATACTATAGATGTAATACACATACACATACTATAAACTCTAAGGTAAAACATAACTTCTGTGTTAAACTCTTTTTTTTTTTTAAAGAGGAAAACTTTAGCTGGTTGTGGTGCACATTTGTAACCTCACTCAAGCACTCTAGGAGACTGATAAGTTCAGGCTCAGCTTGGGTGATTTAGCTACTTGGTGAAACACCTACCTCAAAAATAAAAAAGGGAGCCAGGTGTGGTGGTGCATGCCTGTAATCCCAACACTTGGGAGGCTGAGGCAGGAGGATCATTGCAAGTTTGACACAACCTGGGCTACAAGGTGAGCTCAAGGCCAGCCTGAACTGCATGGTGAGACCCTGTCTTAAAAAGACACACACACACACACACCACACACATGCACAAAGAAGAGCTAGCCACGTAGCTCAGTGCCCACTTATTTGTGATGTTCTTTCATTTGATGTATATAATCCAATGTCCATACTCATGGGCCATAGATCTCACATTCAACCAACTAGATTATACATACATACATACTCAGGAAAAAAATTGCATTTACACTAACCACAGATCCGTTTTTCTTCCTTTTTCCTAAAGTCTGTTGCAGTAGCTGTGTACATATTACACTATATTAGCAATAATCTGAAGTGGACCAAAAGTGGCAGCATATGCCACATTCAGGCATGACACTACTGGATGCACTTGACGAGCACCCATGGACCATGGTGTCTGGGGAATCCTGGAGTCAGGTCACCAGAAGCTCAAGGGATGACTAAAATTCCTTCACTTGGCATAAAATTTGCCTTGTGCCTCAAGAACTGCCTTTCACACTTTGTTGCTTTGTTGGGTAACAACTTTGATTTCCTTTCTATCAGACCCTCTTCAGGAAGATTCTACTCACTTGTGTGCTCTGACTTCAAGGGCTGGGGCTCCAGGGTTCTCTTCTCCAGCACTTTGTTTTAATATGTGTAATGGTTCTGATGGGAACTTGGGGAGCTCAACTGTCACAATCTGGTTGCTCCCAGTATTTTCTCTTTATCCTGTTTGTCTGCATTTGGGTATTCAGCCCAGGAGTGGTTTTCTTAATACCATACTGCATTTTGACTACTGTTTCATCAAACGTTTTTTCTACCATTTTTGTTCTCCTAGGACTACTTATGTGTGTGATAGGCTTTTTGGTACGGTCTCATAAGTCTCTGGGGGCTCTGTGAACTTGTTTTCATTCAGATCCACTGGTGTTTCCCTGTGCCTTACCACTGCTGGCCAGGAGGATAGGAAGTGTCTGGGGTTGGGGGGTGCCTGTGAGCAGACACAAAGACCCCAGCTTTACTGCTTAATCACCAGAGGCTCTGCTGAGCCTTTAGTCCTTTGGCCACTGCCGTTGTCACCTAGCTGTAATGCAACCTGGGACACAACACGGGCCCTCTCTAGGCCCGTTTCTCCACTTGCAACTCACATTCTCCCACCTAACATTTTTCCTACTTTTCAGGAAAAAAGCCTGCAAGTACTTTGAGCAAGGCAAAGGGACCTGCCCATTTGGAAGCAAATGCCTCTACCGCCATGCTTACCCTGACGGGCGACTGGCAGAGCCTGAGAAGCCCCGGAAACAGCTCAGCTCTGAGGGCACTGTGAGGGTGAGTACAGGGCATGGGGCCATCTGTGGGGGGATAGAGCTGTGAGCTCCTCCACTGACCACCTTGGCAAGAGTGTGGGGTGGCCATCAGGAGGACATGGGCATGGCCTGCAGGTTGGTTTTTGTGGTGACTTGGTGGCTGTCTTTACAGTTCTTCAATTCAGTGCGGCTCTGGGATTTCATCGAGAACCGTGAAACCCGTCAGGTCCCCAGCACTGAAGATGTGGATGTGGCTGAGCTTGGGGATCTCTTTATGCACCTTTCTGGAGTAGAGTCAACAGAATCCTGAAGGCATAGCCACCCTGCACGTTGGCACTGTCAGCCCTCAGTCTGCCAAGTTGCCATGTGTAGCCTGCTGCTTGGAATTGAGCAGACTGTCCTTGCTCTTGATCTCACCTACTCCAGTATGACAGTCAGGGACACACAGAGGATATAAAATAACCTACTAAGCATATGTAATCACTATTTTTATAGTTGATATCTTAGTTGCACCTGCAGCCCCTCAAGGGTGTTAACTGTCTGGACTGTTTTGGTTGCTTCAGGGTAACCTGGCTTCTTGTCCTTTTCAACCTGTTTTCTCCTCAGAAACAGTAAACCTATGGTAGCTAAAACAGCAGATTTTTTTTTTTTTTTTAACCAAAGGGTTTTTGCAAATCTGCAAAAGAATTCCTCTATGGTAAAGCTCTCTCGTGCATTAAACAGCATCCTAATTTGTGTTTAAGAGCACCTGACACAGACTCCACGCTAAGCTGAGTCCCTCCAGTGATCCAGGCTAGAGCAGTGGGCGTATTTTTAGGCTGCATGTGTAGCAATAGTGAAAGTGCCCGTCGTCTGCCTGGGAAATGAAGTCCCTGCCCTTCTGGGTGGCTCATGTCCATAGTGTTCATCTTGCTGAGGGCTCTCAACCCACATTGTTAATACTCAAGCCATCCCCTCTTACCTGAAGGTTCAGGTGATGATCTGTAAAAATTTCAGCACATTGAAAGCATTTTCTGGTCCTGGGACCTGAGGCTGCATTTTCTGCCATTATCTTGATTTTAACTAAAGAGTTCATGTGACCATGCAAGTCAGAACCAATTTTTCCAAACCTGAATTTATTTTTATAAAAAGCTATAGACTACCAAATGTTTTATAAAGTGCATTATTTGATGTGTGGGTAGAAGCTCTCTTACCCGACTTTGGAGTCCTTTTTGCTTTTCACAGGCTATATGAAATCCACTCCCAGCCAAGCTCTGGCCATTTCCTTGACCTCTACTATAGACAAAAGGAAGCAGGCACATGGAACTGCAGCAGAAGCAGGGCCTGCTTCCAAAGGAGTTAACAGCCATCAAACCTAGATTTAATTTATTTTATTAAAATAACATAATTGAGGAACAATCAGATAACTTGTATCTTGTCAGGTGCAATAAAAACAAAATTAAAACCCAGATCATCAAGAAAACCTGGGTCCTGGCTTCCTTGTATACACGACACTGAGGGTGACTAGGGACAGGGCTGGTTGGCTCTCGCCCTGGGGCAGCTCCTGGAAGACAGATTCGGCGAGATGGGGCTGCTCCTGGGGAGGGCAGATGGGACACAGGGACATGTCCCCAGAGTCACGTTCCATAGTACCAAAGCAGGCTCTTAGCGGCCGGGGTCCCGGCAGTCCTGGCTGTTTGGTGCAATATGTGCAAAACTTTTTGGCCCTGCACCATTGTCCAAGAGGTGAACAAGCCAATTTCCAAAACACCATGTGTCCCCATAGTGGGGCTGGGTTGTCCACCACCTTTCTCTCCCAAAGCATTCCCCCTATCACTGCCAGCCAGGGCCCAGCATGGTATTGCGTGAGATCGGTGTGCACCTGGAGAAGGCTGGGCCCACAGGGACGAGGCAGTAGGGTGGCAACCAGCTTCCTCTGGGGCCCAGTGGGTAGAGAAGGCAACATGAAGTAAGGCCTTGTGTGTGGGCTAGAAGGTCCTTAGCAGCTTCTCTGGACACATGCGCTCTGCTCCAAGGACAGCAGACGAGTGGTGGTGTTGACTCCCTCCCACCCTGGGTGAAGAGCCAACTAGAAGACAGGCAGTCTCGGGGATGTGGTCAGTGTACATGCATTAATGTCCTCGGTGTGCGCTGCCCGATGCAAGGACGGCTCAGACGCGCTCCGGTTGATCTTGGGCAGAGAATGCTGCAGCAGCTCGATGGAAGACAGGATCTGAAACACAGTGATGAGGATAGTGAGCCAAGGGTTAGGGCTCTTGTTAGCTGGTACTCTTGGGCTGGGTTCCCTCCTCATTTAAACCTATCTCACACCCCTCTGAGGCTTCACCTGGGGGAAGAGAGGCCGCTCCTCCTTCACTTTCTTCACACAGTCAGCCACCAGCCGCTTCATGGCCTTGGGGCAGTTCTTGTAGAGCTTGCTGAGGTCTGGTGAGGCGTAACCTCGGCCCACCATGAAGATGATCTAAGGGGAGACAATGGTGAGTGGAAGGAGGGGGGAGACCCATAGGTTCACGGGCAGTCAGGGGCTAAGGAGCAGCATGTCACCTGGTCACGGTTGTTGATGTGGGAATAGGGGAGCTCCCCTGTCATCAGCTCGTACAGCACAATGCCATAGGAGTAGACGTCTGACTGAAAGCTGAATGGGTTGTTGTCCTGCATTCGAATCACCTCTGGGGCCTGTAGGGACAGACCCATGCATCACCCTTGAGGTGGCCCCACAGATACCACGGCCAGGTGGTAGCTAAAACCAGTTCAGGGTTTACAGTCTTTGCCCAGCTGTTGCAAGTGCACCTACTCCAAACTGACTTCGCTCCCACTCTCCCAGGAAGCATCATCTACCAGGTATGTGAGACTCACCATCCACAGCACAGAGCCAGTGGGCTGCTCCACCTGCTGAGAACCACTCCAACGTGACTTCACTGTTGCCAAACCAAAATCACCAATTTTCACTGTTAGGCCTTCATGGAGAAATATATCTCAATGCCTATTAAGGACTCTGGCTTCAAAAGAGTCAATCTTAATTTGAAAAACTTCCCAAAGGTGCTTTTCACAATGACCCCTACCTACTAACCCTCACTCAGCCTTCTTTGCTCTGCATCTACTAAGTTTGGGAAGCTTTGAAAAGTGTTTTCAACTTCCCTTCTTCTAAGATGCTCATTCCCATATCAGATGGGGGCTCTCTCATCTCACAGCCTTCCTGTGTGATGCTAACAAAGCATGGCCTAGACACTGCCCGCACTTGGCACTCACGGGCCATCGAAACAGAATTCCTGCCTAAGTGCTAACAGCTGGCATTCAGAAATTTCCTCACTTGATGACTTTAAGGCAACTAATTCCCTCCAAGGTAAAGTAGTCTGGCAGTGTATATCTGACTGACCTGGCCCAGGAATTCAAGCCTGCTTAAACTGGTAGTGTCTGATGGCATGATGTATTTTGCTGCCCCAAAAAACTGCTACTAAAAGATGTTCTGTGCTTGAGACAAGTACATAAAATAGCCACATAGGCCACCTCTCCTGATCCTGCTCCACACACCTCCCTCAGCCCCTGCCCAGAAGCATGCTTCTTGCAGAGGATTGGGTATTACATGCCACACCACTTAGCGTGAAAAACCTTAGCCATTCTTCCTTCTAATGAAACATGTTAAGTCTTGGGAAGGCTTTTGGAAACCCTCATGACCTCCAAGGAAATTACTTCAGACAATGTTCAGTAGTAATTTTGGAAATCTTGCTCGAGTAGCTTACAGTTAATTTCTCACCTGATACATAAACACAGTGTCACAAACTAGAAATAAAAAGACTATAATAAAAACAGGTGTTTCAAGTCCCAACACTTCAAATCACTTGCTGAGAAACACCTAGGAAAGAAAGTCACTTCCTTGGACACTACCCCTCACAGCGGGAGAGGCAGAGACAGCCCAAGTCGGCTTTGAGGTCTGTTACTCTTAAGCACCAACCTTTTGACTTCTTCCTGTTTTTGGCCGCTTTCCCTACAAAGCTAGTCCCTGACACTAATGTTCTTGTGATATCAGTTACCCTTGTTTGCTGAATCTGAGCTGAGACTTCCAATGACATAAACAGTGAAGGATACTGTTGGATTTCATGTCCCGGTGGATGATGTTCTTCGCATGCAAGTAGCTGTGAAGGGAAATAAATCTGCTAAAAACAGTGGGAAAGAGCCAGTTTCAAGCTATAGCTAAGAATGAAGGCACCTGTGGACCTGACTCTGGTAGGAGTGACAGGCTAGCACTGGTCCACATCACCACTCACCCCAAGGAAGGCCACAGACGAAACATGCTAGTGCTTTAAGCATCAGTTTTACTCCAACCTAGTGTCCACTGGCTGATAGGACAGGATGGTACAGCCTGTCCCTACATGACAGCATTAGTCACCAGGAAAAGGAAGCTCAGACACATGTAGCTACCTGGATTCGGACCAAAACTGCAAAGCCAAGTAAGAGAAGGAAGGGACACAGGACTAGGTATTTCCTATCTTCTAGGATTCTATTGCTATGAATGTACAAAACCAGAGACAGGAAGGAGAGGCCCAAGGACTGGGATGGGGAAGGACAGGGTGACAATAAACACAGAGGCGTCTTTGTGGCTGACATGACATGATAAACACTGTGCACACATGGAGGATGGCATGTGAGTTACAACAATAAAGTTTTTAAAGTGGTATTACTCAATTGCTTAAAATTTAGTTCCTTGTGAAGGCACCTGCCATAGGAATTCTGAGAGATCCGGAAAGGCAAGCACCCCACCGGGCCATGGCCATTGGGCAACTGGATTGGAAAGAACCCCAGGCACAGGCCAGAGGGCAATATGGAGTTGAAGCACTGAGGACACCTGCAGATTTCACCTACCCACTTGAGCAGGGGCCCGGCAAGCAGTGTTCAGGGGCCTCTGGATGATTCCCAAGTATGGCCTGGCCGATGAGGACCTGAGACAGGTCCCAATGCCTGCCCCTTGCCAGCCAGCAGGCAGGCCACTTGGCATCACTCAAGGTTGAAAGGCTCTTCCAGTTCTGCCTCCCACTTAGGGCTAGCTCAGCGCTCAGCCATTTGTACTCACTCCATGCCCTGTGCTGTCTGTCGAGCGATATCAATCAGTTGGAACATCTGGAATTTGGTCTCCTGGACGTGCAGGTGTTTGTAGAGGCTGCTGCCCTCACACCACTGTGTCACAATTGCCAGATTGTCCTTCGTCATGTATCCCATAAACAGCAGGATATTCACATGCCGCGTTTTGCTGGGAAAGATATGAGAGGATGCTCAGGAAGTCTCTACTGTCCCATAGCCGTGTGTCCTCGTCACCACTGGCAGAAGCTCAAGCTCTCAGCCACAGTGTCATCATCCTCAGTGCTGGCCTTGTCCACAGAGCCATGATCAGTGACACGGCTCTCCATGAGTTGCAAGACCTGTCCCCTGTGGAATCCTCCACCAATCAGCCCCCTCCTGCAGGGCACAGCAACTCAGGATATGATGCTGAAGTTTTGCAACCCAAGTAAAGTAACTTGTCTATAAACCATTCTTGGAAATAAAGGCAAAAATGGGACCTATTTCTCCCAATCTCAAACCAAAACCCAGAGACAGAGCTGGGTGTGGAGTGCAGTGTGTCTAGACAGGGGTCCACATGACGAGAACATGGGTATCACTCTGCTTGGGGTACAGCACATGGCTGCCTCAAGGTGCAGCACTCACCGCAGCACCGCCACCTCGTTCCTGAAGGCCTGGAACTGCTCTGGGGTTGGGTCCACCACCTTCAGGATCTTTACCGCCACATCTCCTGTAAATGAGACCATAATCAGGAAACACACTTGGTCCATCAGACTGTGAGGTGTTTCCAGGTACCCTGGTGTTGAGGAAGCATTTGCTTCTTCGAGTCTACCCTTCATAAAGATGAACAGACCTGCAAATTTCTAGATCAAAGTGCCAAAAAAAAGTCATCCCAGAGTTTCACTGTCATCCTTACCCACCCCAAGACCTATAGCAGGCTTGGCTTCAATGATCATGTGGTTTATCTGGTAGCACCAGAAGTGAGGACAAGTGTGATCACCTTTGTGACCAGAGAGGTTGTGGCCAGTGCATGGTCTTAAGACAGCCCAGCAAGCCAAGCTCTGCGTGAAACACTGAACCAACTGGCCAGCAGAGGGGCAGAGACACCTTTTTTTTTTTGGTCTTTTTGAGACAGGGTCTCCCTATGCAGTTCAGGCTGGCCTTGAGCTCACTTTGTAGCCAAGGCTGGTCTTGAACTCGAAATGATCCTCCTGCCTCAGCCTCCTGGCTGAATTTACAGGTGTGAACCACCAACGCCTGGCTGAGATGCCTTTTTTTTTGGTGCCGGAAATTGAACTCAGGGGCCTTGTACTTGCCAGGTACTGTATCACTGAGCTATATATATCCCTGGCCCCAGAGATGCCTCTTGTAAAAATAAAAACAAATCAAAAGACACACACTAATGTAAGC